GGGTGCCAGCGGGGCACAGAGCAGACACAGTCCCTACCTCCATCAAGTCCCTGGGAGAGGCAGGAGAGACAGACAATAAGCTAAATCCATAAATGCATTGGCCGTGAGAAGCCCTGTGGGGACACGGAAGTCAGGGGAAAGGAACAGAACACAACCAGATGGCCAAGGATGAGATGGTAATTTGGCTCCACCAGCAGCTCTGCAGGAGAAAGACGAGGCTGTCTACACCTGTACAGAGTCCCAGTCTCAGAAACCCACGGGGGGCCGTTCTACCCGGTCCTACAGGAGCTTCGTCGTTGGTTTTAATATTGTGTTCATCTTCACGGCTGCCACGAGGCCCCAGATGGCTGCCATAACCCCACCTCGCAGACTTATTCCAGGCGGGAAGAAGGAGAACTAGGGGCAGAAGAAACATGCCCACTAAGTCAGCTTTAAAGAGTTCTCCTGGAACGTCTGTAGTTCTCATTGCTGGCACATAATGGAAGGCCCCACAGCTGCAAGAAAGGCTGGGGAATAATTCTCTATCTGGGCCCATTGCCACCGAAGGAAAATCAACCTTCTCCTTTAAGACGAAGGGGAGGGTAGAGATTGGTTAGGCAGCTACAGGCTCTCCCTGAGTAACCAAATACCCAAAAGTCAAAGAGAATGACTGTGATTTTCTCTTTGAGATATCTTTGAATTTTCTCTGCAATATCCATTATATGCCAGAGAGAGAGAGGAGAGAGAGTTGACCAAATTTTAAAATCTATACATGTAAACTATAGCATTTGGAACCCTGGTGGCATAGTGGCTAAGCATTAGTTTGCTCCCCTCAAGGTTAGCAGTTTGAAACCCCCAACCACGCCGTGGGAGAAAGACAAGACTTTCTACCACCATAAAGAGTAAGGCTTTAAACGGTAACACTTACTATGCAGAAATTGCTTTCAGAGTATAAAGGTTTAAAACAAAGTGTTAAGCCAAGATAGGGCATAACACGGCATGTTGTTTTCTGTAGTTCTGAGAGCGAACACAAACTCATCCTCACCTGGTTGGGCATGTCTGGTCTGATCTCGATCTTCCACCAGTTAGGCATCTCAGGATGATCTCAGACACCCCTTCCAAGGCCCAGAGGGGTATCTAAAAGGGAGAATCCCGGGGGGAGACGATCAAGCTCCTGGTCAGAGAAAGAGGATGAGATCCCATGAAAGAGATGAGACAGAGAATAGCTCAACGGAGCAGAGGGGCCTTGGGGCTTGCACTTAGCAAATCTGAAGATGCAGGGAGGGAGGCTAGGCAAGATCCCAGAGGACCTGAGCTAGAGTCTCTGGAGAAGGGACAGGACTCGAGCAGTGTGGGGTCCTGGGGTTCTGAGCGCCCCTATCTTGGCAGTATGAGGAGCTGAGGATGACGGCAGGGAGTCACTGTGACAACCTCCGAAGCCGAAAGAACGAGATCCTGGAAATGAACAAGCTGATTCAACGGCTGCAGCAAGACGTCGAGACCGCGAAAGCCCAGGTGCGAACAAAGACGCTCGCCATCTGGGTCGCAGGGCGCAAGGTTCAGTCCTCCCCGGGAGTGCTGCGGAAGAGAGGCCAGACGGCCTTGCTGAAGAGGAAGGGAGCCCTTGGAGCTGCATCAGGGAGAGCAGCCCCTTGAAAGAGTGAGGTCCCCAACAGGGGCTGGGGGGGGGGGGGACCTGTGTCAACGCCAGGGTGCTTCACTCAATAGGGGCAAGGAGAAGATAGTCTCTGTGGCCTTCCTAACTCAAAGGCTCTGTACTTCTCCAATCCTGAGGGGTTCAGAAAACCAGACCATTCCGCAAGGCTGGTGCTTAAACCAGCCAGATGCTGGACACCTACTTGCCCCCAAAGGAATTGCTCGGCAGATCCAGGAGGGTAGCCACAGATCCCCTGGGGCTTTGATGAACAGAAGGAACCCTATGTCACAGCCTCAGGATGAAACCCCCATCAGATCTGCAACTGACCAGTAACCACCTCTCTTCCCTTCTGAGTCCTCTCAGCACCTCAGGGCCCACTCCCCACCCCACAGCGCATTTCTGTGTCCTCCCCTCCCCCCACAGCGTTGCAAACTCGAGGGAGCTGTAGCAGAGGCCGAGCAGCAGGGCGAGGCGGCCCTCAGCGACGCCCGCGGCAAGCTGGCCGGGCTGGAGGAGGCCCTGCAGAAGGCCAAGCAGGACATGGCCTGCCTGCTGAAGGAGTACCAGGAGGTGATGAACTCCAAGCTGGGCCTGGACATCGAGATCGCCACCTACCGGCGCCTGCTGGAGGGCGAGGAGAGCCGGTGAGTTCAGTGAAAGTGGAGGGGCAGTCAGGGATGGGCACCAGGTAGGCCACCTGCCCAGCCGCCTGGTTGCTGCAGCTGCTGTGACTGCTACCCACACACTGAAGTTAGCAAAAATCCAAACGTATGCCCAGTCCACAGCCCTCAGAATTAACATGGTCCACGGTGAGGGCACGCCGTGGCCATGGTGGCACCACACTTAAGCACTCAGCTGCTAACCAAAGACGGTTCAGCCTCTTGGAAGAAGTACGTGGCCATCCCCTTCGGTAAAGATGACAGCCTTGAACCCCCTCCAGGCAGGTGGACCCTGTTCTGCTGTGCAGGAGGCAAGGGGTGAGGGGAGGGGAGGAGAAGGGAGCCGCGAACATGTTAGCTGCCCTGTCGGTTTTGACAGTCTCCCTGTATCTTCTTCCCTTTTCCCTAGGCTGTGCGAAGGTGTTGGGCCGGTGAACATCTGTGAGTATAAGAGCCATGCTCCCGGGGCACTCTGGGGTCTTGGGGGTTGAGGAAGTCAACACAGGCAGCTCACACCATCCCTGGCAGGGCCCCTGCATGCCCACCGCCCCAAAGAAGGGCTCAATCTTCCAGGAGCTCCTGGCCTGGTGGAAAGCACCCCCCAGGGTACCCCTCCGGGTCAGACCTGGAAGCAAATACCCAGGAGAGATTTGAGGTCCATATACTTCAAGGTGCCAGACTGGCAGGGGGATCCTCTTCTGGCCAAGGAGAATTTGAAGCAGGCCCAGGAAAGTGGGACGAGACCAGTGGAACCAGAGAGAGTGGCCCGTATGTCAGGACTGGGCTTGCCACCGCTCCAGGCAAAGGGGTGCCCGGGTGCTTCTAAACACTTAATTTAGAAGCTGGGGTGGGGAGACACAGATGTTGGCTGATGGGGTCGGGAGTGTGATTCAAGGTGAGGGCTGGCAGTTGGGGGCGTGGCCTGGAGGAAGGGTTTCAGGGCAGACACCCCTAGGGCCTTGGCGCAGGCCCCTGACTGAGCACCCCTTCTTTCCCCACAGCTGTGAGCAGCACCAAAGGCTCCCTGCTCTATGAGCCCTGTGTCGTCAGCACGCCCATGCTGAGGCCCGAGTACTGCTCAGGGGCCACTAGCGTCCTGCGCAGCAGCAGGGCCTGCAGTGTGGTGGGCACCGGTGAGCTCTATATCCCCTGTGAGCCTCAGGCCATACTGAGCTGTGCCAGTGGTTGCAGCTCCAGCAGGAAGATGGGGGCTGGGGGCTCCTCTAGCCACAAATGCTAGCCCCTCCCCACAGGCCCAAACTGGGTACCCAGAGGCTGCACCACCCATTGGAGCTGAAGATTGGATATAGTCCAAGAACCCCATCTCTCTGTCTTAACTCCAAATTCCCCTTGGTTTTCACTGAGAGGGGCTCCTCAGATCAACCTGTGTCTTAGCTGTGGGCGGAGTTAGGCACTGACGTTGGGGGGCGGGGGATGGGTTCTGAGTAACATAAAATATCTCTCTTGTCTCTTGGACTGGAATGAGAGCCACTAGTGTGGTCCAGGAGATGGCTACCTCCCAGCCACGTCTCTTCGAGATGAGGCCAGCCTTCCTCCCCCAGGAAGCCCGCCGCACCACCCAGCTGCCTTGCCATACTCCATAATGCACACCGTTGTAAATCTCAAAAGGAGATGACCCAAACTGTGTTCTGAACTCCAAAGCTAACCCTCAGGATTCAGGTGTCGTGTCTTACACACGCTCCTCTCAGCACAAAGAACAGGACAGTGGTCTTAGGGCAGTGACTTTACCTGCTCAGGATTGTGGGGCTCCTACTAGGAAAAGGGGTCTCTTTTCCCTGAGCCCACAGTGGCAGCTGATGGAGGCAGCATCCCAGGGAAATTCCTGAAAGGGATAAGGCAACGTGGTGCATTTACCAGAGCAAATGACCATCATGAGCCAAAGACATTCGTTCCGTAGAATCAAGCCCTCTCCCACTCTTTCCCATTCTGACCTAGAGCCACAGTATAACTGCCCTTAGGGGACTGTGAAACTTTACATCTTTACCAGGGTAGACAGCCTCATCTTTCTCTCACGGGGTGGACGGTGGGTTCGAAAACTTCATGAAGAGAAGTGGCTGTGAGGTAGCCGTCTCCTGGGCCACACTCGTGGCTCTGATTCCAGTCCAGGAGACAAAAGCTCAGTGGGGAGTGGGTTGCCCAAGACGCCAACAGAGCCCCCACGCTTGTAAATCAATAGGCACCCGGTTTCTGTTCCTCCCCCTGACGTTTCTCTGGCTTTGGGATCGGATATGAACCTTTCCATTACGTGGGCCTGCCCTAGACCCCTCAGACTTTGCAACTCTCAGAGTTCCCCTAAGGACAGGTATGAGCCTAGGATGACCTGCCTTAAGGTCACCTTCCCAGAGTTCCCATCCTACTGAAATCCCTCCTACTGAGCCCCTCCCACCATGGATCCAAGGTCCCAACTGAGATGAGCTTCCGTTCCAATAAACTGACTCTGGGTCTCAGGATACAGTAATCAGGATGATCCAACTTGCTGTTCTGGGTGTGGTGGGGCTGCTGGAGAACCGGGCCGCCGCCTTTGGTGGGTGTGGGCTCAGGAATGGAAATAAAGGTTGTTGAACATGGGGAAAGGACACACACCTGATTTGCAAGTGGCCTGTGGAATAAACATCAATCTGTGCAAGTCATCCGTAAAACCTGCACTTAGCACCCAAGTCTCCTGTCATCCGTCACACAGCTACTTCCCAAAGGCCTTGTCCTACTGTCCAGAGAAAGTCCAAGGGGTACTCAAAACACCAGGTCCCTCCAGGTCCTCCAACTCCGCCTACTCCTGAGTTCACCCCACCGCCCAGAGGCTCCGCCCCTAACCTGACAGCACGCGGAAGCCCCTCCCACGACACCCTGCCCACCAAGGATCTTACGTGGTCACCAGCCCCTCCCTCCCGTCAGGCTTCTCGGGGCTCAAACGTTGTACCCTGAATCGAAGAACCACCACCTGTGCGTCCGAGTAGAACTGTACTCCACAGAGTTCCCAACGCTGATTTTTTTTTGGAAAAGCAGATCGCTTGGCGTTTCTTCCAGGGGCCTGCGGTCTAGCGGACTCCACCCTTTCGGTTTGGCAGTCCTGGGCACCTTGGAGGACCCCGAGCCCAGAGCCCTGGTGACGTGGTGCTTACGCACTTGGTTGCTAGGCAGAAAGTCAGCACTTGAAAACTACCAGGCTCTCAGGTTAGAAAGATGAAGCTTTCTACTCCAGCCTCGGAAACTCACAGGACCCTAGAGAGTCGCTATGAGTCGCCATCGACTCGGTGACAGTCCTAAGCAGCCCCCCAAGCCCTGGACTCTGCCTCCCACCTCTAGTGCCTCTCAGTATCTAGGAAGCCCCGCCCGAAAAAGCCCTCATGGTGGGCGGCTGTCTGCCAGAGCTGAGGACCAGGGAGCTCCAGGCTCCTCTCTCCTTGGTCAGTGCTACTGTCCCTTGCCAGGAGGCGGCCCCAGCTTACAGAGCAAAGCTGCTAAAGAGGGCTTTCAGGGCTGTGACCATATTCACAAACGGGTCACCAGGCCTGTCTCCTGATGGCCTCTGGGTAGATTTGAGTCACCCACCTATCAGCTAGCAGTTGAGCGCTTAACTATTTGCTGCACCCAGGGACTCTGTCCTCTTAGGGGCTCAGATACACAGCAGCTGGCAAGGGAGAACGATGGGCCCCTCCCTGCTTGCTGCCTGACTGTCCCTTCCCGGTGGTCCTAAGCGCTGGGGTGAAACTCCCTCCCCCAGAGTCCCGGGCTGAGCCTATCCCTGCCAAGCCCTGGGGTGACTAAGCCCCTCTCTTGCCCCTGGAAGGCTTCTCCCACTCCTGGAGGAATGGGCTGTTCTGGAAACTCCCTGGGGAGAGGTCCCGCGAGAAGACTGTGAATGCCAGCTATAGCTTCATGCAGCCACATTCAGAAGGGACCGCCCCCTCCATTTTTCATTCACTTGAAACAGATTTAATTATGCCCCCATCCCCGCTTTCAGTTAGGTCAGCGGTTCTCAACCTGTGGGTCATGACCCCTTTGGGGGTGGAACAGGAGCAAAATGACAGTGATGAAGTAGCAACAACAATAATGTTATGGTTGGGGGGTCACCACCACATGAGGACCTGTATGAAAGGACCGAGGCACTAGGAAGGTTGAGGACCACTGGGTCAGGTCACCCAAGAGCTGGAGACACAGTGGACAAGATCGCCCCAGGTAAGGCTGATGGATCCAGGAGGTAGAGTGGACAGCGCCTGGGGCCCATGATACCTTGAAAATAGGTTGACTTTATTTCTATCCCTATCAAAAGAAAAATCCTTTAATGATAAATATAAGTGGATCGGCATGGATCCAGCCTGGGTCATATTGGTTTGGATACCAATGCAGTTGTGAAATATCTTTTTCATGTTTTCTATGGAGAAGAGAGCTCATGGGAGACAAGCTACAGCCCTGGGCCCCAGTCCACACTTCGAATGGTCCCCAAGGGTCCCCACTGGGCGCTACAGGCCCAGAGCTTGACGTCACAGCTGTGAGGGGCCGTGAGCAAGGACAGAGAGCTGGGCAGAGCTGAAGATGTCACTCTCTGGGAGGAGGACAGGCAAGGCTGAACCCCGAGGCTGGAGGAGATCATAGGAAGTCTGTTTGTGGGCACAGCTACTGTGGGTCAGAGTGCAGAGCCATGCCTGGGACGGCTGAGTATGCTAGGCACCACCTACAGCCAAAGGGAGCCGAACATCGGGGCCTTGAAGTCCTGGGGCCCCTTGAAGCCATACCCCTCTGGCCTGGCCCTAAAGCCAGCTAAGCTCCCTGCTGGTTTCAGACTCAGGATTCTGTAGACAAGACACTAGCAGACATGGCCACTCCAGGGAGAGGCAGGCCCCTCTGTCCCACGGGAGTTTCTGATTGCCTTAGAAGTCAAAGGGGAGTGGGAAGGACTCAGGGTGCTCTGGGCCTGCAGGTGTCCTTGGGAACTTCGCATTTCAGAGCACCGGGACCCCTTCTGAGTGGAGAGGCGGTTTGGAACTCCATCAAGCCCTAGTCTTCCCAACACTGGACAACGCTTCATCCCAGGATGGACTGAGCTGAGGGCCCCCAGAATACACGCCCATACTACCCAGTGATCTCCAGGGCTGCTCCCGGTCTGGACTGCCTTCTCATGGGAAGAGACTATGCAGGGCAGGCACCACCAAAGTGCCTCCTGGTGGTGGCCTGGCCCATTCACATTCCACTCATCTCAACAAACAGCTGAGCTTTCCCCTCCGGTCTGCCTGCTTCACTGGGAGCTGGCAATACAGGGCAGGCCAGGTCCCCTGCCCTTGGAGAAGAGAAGTGGGCAAGGGAAGGAGACTTGTCCTATGAAGCTAGAGCCTTGGGGCATTTGACTTGGCTCAGGAATCCAAACCCTGGGCTTTTTCCAGATGCCCCAGTGAGGTCAGGACAGGGCATCCCAAAGGGCAGGGGCAGGCTGCATGGCAGGGAAGCACGCTCCTTGTCCGTGCACCTGTCTTCCCCACCCCGCCTCTGATACTTCCTCTCATTCCTTCCCACATGTCCATCCAGAATTCTCCCAGTGCCACGCTTCTTTGCTCCACTGGCCAAGCCCCCTGGTACCTCTGCTTCTGCCCCAGGCACTCTTGTCCCATCACAGCAGTGAGCCCATGACCACCCACAAGTGCTATTCTTCACCCAGGGGTTGCCAAGTGCCCAGGGAGAATCCTGGGGGGCTGGGCCTGTGGGAAATGGCTTCCAAAATGGCACTGTGAGCACAGGAAGGGCAGCCCAGGACCCCTGGGTCACTCCCCGAGAGAGGACTGCATTCCAGCCACTCAGCACCCAGGTGCAAGGCGGGGAGCATCAGGAAATCCACTCTGCACAGTTCTGACTCATGGCAGCCCCGCGTCTGGGTGAAACTGCATCCCGTACCATTCTCAGTGAATGGCTGTGGCCTTTCAGAAACAGATCGCCAGGCCTTTCTTCTGAGGCCGCTCTGGTGGACTCAAACTTCCAACCTGTCCGTCAGCAGCCCAGTCCCCAGTACACGCGTGTCGGAGAAAAGTGAACTTTAAGCCTGGAAGGAACGTGGACGCCAGCAAGAGGGTCGGCGGGCTTGACTGTCTCGCTGGAAGATGTCTAAATGCCACAAGAGCCAGAGCCAGAGCTAGTGTACCAGGACAGAGAAGCAGAGGTCCCAGACCAGGATGGATTTACCACACTTGGCTGTCTCCTCCTACCGGGGAATCCCAAACTTCCTTTCCCAGGTGAGGCAAGTCTGGGCACAAAGGGCTGGCCCTGGGAACCTCTCTGTGGCACAATCTCATCTCCAGGCAAAGCGGAAGCCCCGAGGAGAGGGCAGCATTCAGCAAGCCTTCTCAGCAGCTGGGCTTCCCCTATCTCAATCTCTCTTCCCTTCCTTCTCCGCCTCCTCCTTTCTCTTTGTCTCTGCACTCTCTTCTCTCTCTCTCAGTCTCGATCACACATACCCACGCACTGAGCCAGTGCTCTGCACTTGACCATCCCCTTCTCAGTCCACCCCCCTCTCACTCCTGAGCATTCCCTCCCCCTCCCTGCTCTACCCATTGACAGCATCCTGATGACCCAGCAATCATGCCCCACCTGAAGCGCTGGGCCTGGGCTTAGCCAGCACATCTCAGGATCACTATCAGGCTGACTGGCAGCCGTCAGAAGAAACTGTCCCAGCTGCAAAACCTCCCACCAGAATTGCCAGGACTACTCCTCCCCTCTCCCTACCTTGACAACCAAAAAGTGCTGAGGGTGGCGTTACGCATGGTCTGGAGAGATGATGTCTCCAAACCATAAACTGCTGATGGGAACAGCTCATCCCAGAACAGGGGTTGTGCTTGACTGGTCGGCATCACCCCCTACCCCACCCAGCCAGTCAGGGCTGAGGACGCCGAGGCAGGATAGTGCAGGAATGGATGCGAGTTGCTGAGTGCCACAGCTCGTGGGAGCAGGAAGGAGGTGGGGTGCTAGGCTGGACAGGGATGGGAAGGTTGTGTAAAAGAGAGGGGAGGGAAAGGGAGAAATGGGGAGAAATGGCTGATAACACGGGTCACAGCCACCAGGCACCACACTGTGTGTGTATATATATATGGCTAAGCCTTGCAATAGGATCGTGGGGATTGGCCAATTTTACAGAAGAGGAAGCTGAGACTCAGAGAGGTTAGACCCTTTCCCAGTGGTGTTGGCCTACCATGGCAGGGCCAGGGGGCCGTGTGGTCGCTCAGCATTATTTAGAATGGCCAGTGTATGGTGGCACGAGAATTAAATGCCAGCCAACTTTGGGGGGTGTCTTGGTGTTGATTGTAACATCTGGACACACACAACTCGCTGCAGCTAGATCCATTCTGACTTGTGGCCACCCTAGAGGACAGGACAGAACTGCCCCTGTGGGTTTCCAAGGCTCTTCACTCTTCACAGGAACACAAAGCCCCAAAGTGCTGACCTTGCAGTTAGCAGCCCAACACGTGACCCACAAGCACCACCTTATTTCCTGTGCCTGTGCTGGAACCTTTCCACCACCCTGCTTGTGGTGCCCGAGGTCGCTGGGAGAGAACCCAGGCTCCCAAGATCCTGTCAGGCTCTGCCTTCCCCCTACAGGGTCTCCACACACTTCTGAGTGTTCCCTGTGCCACCTCCCTTCTCCCCCAGCCTCTTCTTTTAGGCCTTCCACCTTCAGGACCCCCTTTTCACTCTCCTGCCCACTCTCACCTGGAGGGTTGGGATGGCCTCTCCTCCAAGCAGCCAGATCTCAAGAGGCTGGAGCCGGAAAGGCAGATGGTGCTGGGTCCCGGGGAGTTCCTGAGTTTCTGCAGCAAGCAGCTCAGGGAGCGTGCTTGTCTACTTTGGAGCCAGGGCTTCCTCATCAGGAAATACCTGCAGGGTTAACTGCCTGAATTCCTCTTCTCTCTCTTTGACACCCTGCTCCATTCCCCCTTTTCTCCTCTGCCTTTCATCTCCACGGAGTCTCCCTCCTCCAGCAGCATGCGAGGGCGTGCCAGTGGTGGGTCCCCACTTGCCCAAGCACTCAGGGTGCAGAACAGAACAAAGCACACACTGATACCTGGCTCCTGGAGCTTGTGTCCAGGGGGAGAAGACACGTAGGAACCAGGCAGATCGAGGTGGGGGCCAGATGATATGGAGGAAAGGAAGGCAGGGTGGGGGGGCTCACATTAGGGAGGGAAGTTCAGATAGGGGGTCAGAAGATGACATCGGAACAAGGTCTCAGAAAAGTTACAGGGCCACCCAGGTAGTTATTTGAGGGTAGACATGCCCAGCCGAGCAAAGAGAAGGTAAGGGAGTCCCACTGAGGGAGAATGGGCAACCCGGGGACCAGAGGCGCTGGCGGAGGGTGAGGTGAGCCGTCGCCTGGATCGGGAGAGAGGTCGCAGAGCGTAGGGTCTTAAGCACCTTTCACTCTGAGTATGATGGGAGCCCGTGGCAGGCTTCTGAGCAGAGAAAGGAGCTGGTCGGTCTCAAAGCATCACTCTGCTACGTTAAGAAAAGACTGAAGGGGCAAAGGAGGGATCAGGGAGCCTGGGAATGTGGAAGACACTTCCACAGACCCCACCAGAAGTGCCAACCGTGGGCCCACATGCTGGTCACAGGGGCGTCTAGATATGTTCCTGAAAGAAGGACGGCCAGAGGGCTCCTCAGAGGCAAGGATGGCGAGACTCGGTCTCACGTACTGTGGACACCTTGTCTGTCAGCAGAGACCAGTGTCTGAGAAGGACACCGTGCTTGGTAAAGTGGACGGGCAGTGAGAGAGAGGCCCTCAAAGGGATGGGTGGCCACATTGACTGTGAAGCACACGGACCATGGTGAGGAAGGCCAGGGGCAGGGCAGCATTTTGCATTGTTGTACCTAGGCTCTCTGTGGGTCAGAACGGGCACCGACCAACCACAGGATGTCTTCTAAGGTAGAATTTGCCAGTTGAGTGAACGTCAAGTATGAAAGCGGGCAGAATAAGAGATGATTCCAAGACTTTTATCCCAGAGTTACTACAGGGGATGGTGCAACTGACATGAGGACTATCCATCAGGAGCACCGTCTTGGGCATACAGTGAGTTTGCGAGGCGTACTTAGCAGTCGAGGAGAGACGTGGAGTCGAGCATGTGGGGGGGGTTGGGGCCGGGGTGGGGGGGGGCAGAGGCGTTCGTGCTGTGATATGGGATGTTTGGGCAGAGACTCTACAGAGTCATGAGCTCCAGTGACATGACCCAGGGAATGAGTGCAGCTAAGGGTGAGACACGGCCCAGGGACACTTGGGTGCCTAGAGGTTGAAGGAGATGAGGGAGGGCCGGCTAAGAGGACCAGGAAAGGAGCAATCGATGCCCTGGGAGGAAAACTGGGTGAGCGCGCTGTGCTGGAACCCAAGCAAAGGACGCGTCTCGCGGGAAGAGGGTATGATCAAGTGTGCTGCTGCGCAGAAGTACAGTTAAGTGAGGACCGAGAACAGATTGCTGGGTTGAGCGAACTGAAGGTCACGCTGGTGACCTTGACAAGGTATCCTTGTCCCTCTTACCCAGGCAACCTGCTAGCTGGATCTAGGGGGAACAGGGCAGAACCAAACTGGGTAGCTAAAGACAAAAGCGCGCATCCCTTTCCAAGTAGACTCTCAGCCTTCCAGTCAAATAGGACTCACCCCCCCACCCTCCGCCCCCCGGCTGCCAGCACAGGACAGACAGGGAAGGAGGAAGCACCGGCTTGTCTCTGGGCCCCTATATGATGACCACATCCAGTCACTTAGACCGATTCATCTTCTGTCTGTGCCTGATGCCTGTGTCTCTCCATCCTAACCCACAAGCCATCAACCATTCGAGGAAGGGTCGCTTCGGTGTCCGGGTATATTGGGGGGACATGTTATAGTTAGCTCCCTGTCACACGCAGATATGGCAGGTATGTGGCCGAATCATAGGCGGAGCTTTGGTCTTATGTCAGGCCACTACACAAACAGTGTAGGCTGGCGGAAGTCAAGGTAAAATATCCTTTGCTCTCATGAGGCTAGAAACTCTCCTCTCCGTGTCTCTGCACCAAGTAGACTGCCTGGGGAGTGAGGGAGCAGCCACTCAATCATCATTATAAAACTGAACGGACGGATACTCTCTGAGCATCTCAAATCAGAGACTCATCTACCCGAGCCAAAACGAGTTGTTACTACAAGTTCAGCCCTTGGGTGGTCAGTCAGTCATGGAGAATCGATAAATGCAGTATAGGGTTTCCTACTGATTCCATCCACATTAATGCCATCCATGTGAATCTTGCCACATCACGTCTGACTCGGAGCCATGTAGGCCCTGACTCTCTTCCATGCACCCTCACCCCGCCCACCCAGCCCCCAATCTCTTTAGGGGGTTGAGTCTGTCTAGAGGCCTCCTTTGCCAGCTCTTACTGGAACTGTCACCATCCTAACTTTCTGGTGGTTAGCCACACTCACTGTGAAAAGGTCTATTGGATTTCTGATCAAAGGAAATTAATGTCTCCATAATGGCAATTGTGGTGGACTTATGGGGGGAAATAGGACGATAATGTTTATGTGCTGTTAATGGTTTATAGGTTTGGTGTTATAGGCCTGATCCTGATGAGAACAGGTGTGTCTGAGATTATTAGCTCATCATTAAGGAGGTTACCAGGCATGAAGAGTTTCTGCTAACTACCCAAGCTCATAAATGTCTCCAAATGGCTTTTCCCATTTTTATAGGGCCGGTCCACAGATCCCCACACACATAAAAGGGTAAGAGGAATCCACTAGCCTCAGAAGGACTCCTGGATCCAGCTTGCCCCACTCTGCACTTGTTCCTTCGCTCCGACCCAGAAAGCCAGCATGTCTTGTCGCTCCTACCGTGTCAGCTCTGGTCTCCACCGGGTGGGAAACTTCAGCTCCTGCTCAGCAGTGACACCCCGGCCCCTGTACTGCTTCCAGCCCAGCACTGGCTCCTGCAGGAACGGGCCTGGATACCGGGGCCTAGGCGGCTTTGGTAGTTGGAGCGTCACCACCCTTGGACCCTGCTCACCCCGCAAGGCAGTGGGCGGTCCTCTTCCCACCCGCTGTGGAGTTGGCTTTGGGGTCGGAAGTGGGGTGGGCCTGGGCTTGGGTGCCTGCAGTGGTGTCGGCCTGGGGTTTGGAGCTGGCAGCGGCCTTGGCTATGGTTTCAGTGGTCCCGGCTTTGGCTACCGATCGGGAGGACTCGGCGTCCCCACGGCCCCGTCAATCACCGCTGTGACTGTCAACCAGAGCCTGCTCACCCCTCTCAACTTGGAGATCGACCCAAATGCCCAGAGGGTGAAGAAGGATGAGAAGGAGCAGATCAAGACGCTGAACAACAAGTTTGCCTCCTTCATCGACAAGGTACCGATGGGAGCTGAATAACCGGGTCTGGAAATGATGGGAGCCGAAAGGCAATGGGGTCCTCCTTCCCTCAAGAAGAGTTGCCCGAGGTCTGGGCTGACAACCTACACCCTTTAGGAGTCAAGGGGAGGCATTTTCTGGGCCACCCTGCTACGGAGCAAGGACAAGGCCACCTGGCAGGACAGACTAGGGCGGTGGCTTGTGTCTTCTGGAGGCCGGGAACATAGGTCATTTGGGCCCACTGGCACGTCCCATCGGATCACTTAAAAATGTCTCCCAGACAAGCTGGGGACATCAGGCCTGTCGCCAGGTGTTGGCTGGAATGAGTTGGAGAGGTTTCATCCTGTGGGAACCTCCTGCTCTTTCGGAGGCTTTCACAGCTTCTGAGGTGGAGAGGCAACATCGGCACAAGTCTAGGGAAACGGAGAGTAGAGCAGAGTCATGCAGTCTAACAATACTGTCGTCATCTGTATTTTATAATGACATGTCCTTTACAGCTCGGGTTAGTTCCTACTTTGATTTTCTGTCTCTCGTACTGTAGACACAATCTTGAGTTTTGTAGATTCTTCCCATCTGTGAAACTCGGCCAATGAGTCTGTTCACTAGGTCGATGTAGTCTGTTGAATGGACCCACGCCAAAAAATTAAAAAAATAAAAATAGTAGTTTGTTAGGATGAAATTCACTTGGGAGACCATACGGAGAGAAGCCAGACACCCTCACTCACATGAAGTGATAGTTGCCCGTGGGTCCAGCTGCCCCGGTGGGGACAACTAGTGGAGAATGACCAATGGTCATCCCTGACCTTCCAGCCACTGCCGAGGAAGGGACAGCGATAATCTAGAAGGAGTGACCTCACACAAGCCATGTCTCCAAGGGGCTGGGATTGGGTTTGAAAGTGGAAATGAATCAGTGAGCTCCCATTTTCTCGTCTCTCATCCAAGGGCTTTGGAGCACGTAACCTTGGGTTTGAAAGTGGAAATGAATCAGTGAGCTCCCATTTTCTCGTCTCTCATCCAAGGGCTTTGGAGCACGTAATCTTGGGTCTCCCCATGGCTCTGTACGTCTCAGCCAGTGGAAGGCATATCCGTGAGGGCGGGGTGGGTGCGATTCACAAGCTGGCCTTTCTCACCTCTCTATGCTGAAGCCTCACCCACCCCGGCCCCCCTGCTCTGTGGAAATGGATGGCATCCCATTCTGGGACAGGCAACTCATCAGTACAAGCAGAAGCAATCCTTCTAACGTCTAGATGGATTGACCTAAGCCTTGCTAGAAGGTGGAAGGGTAAGGAGTGGATTCAAATGTTTGGGTTCGGACCCTCTCGTAGGAGGAGGAGGAGGGAGCTTACAGACTTGCCCTCCTAGCGCCTAGCAAGACAGCGGAGCCTGAGCGTCTGTCGGGGACAGAGCAATCTCACCACATGCTTGGGAGTCATCTCCAACTCTCAGAAGAACTGGTCGACGTGTAAGTGGCGCTCAGTTGCAGTCCCTCTGCTTCTGTGGACTTAGGTGCGGTTCCTGGAGCAGCAGAATAAACTCCTGGAGACCAAGTGGAGCTTCCTCCAAGACCAGAAATGCACCAGGAGCAACTTGGAGCCCCTCTTTGAGAGCTACGTCAACAACCTTCGGAGGCAGCTGGACACCGCAGCCAGTGACCGGGCCCGGCTGGAGGCCGAGAGGAACCATCTGCAGGATGTCCTTGAGGGCTTCAAGAAGAAGTGAGTGCCGTCCTGTCTCCAACGACGAGGATGGGAGTGGGCTGTGCCCCAAAGCAGCAGTCCGCAGGCAGATGAGAGCAGCTCAGAGGATCAGGCTTAACTGCTGTGTTCATTCGCCAGCCTGGGGGCAGGCAGGGGTGGGGGAGAGGGACCTCCAAGATGCCGTGGGCTGGCACCTTCTGAGTTGCTCTTTAGAAATAGGAAGACTTGGAATTGAGGGTGGCTGCCCATTTCCAGAAGTCAGAATTGCCCTGACAGCAACAGGTTTGGGTCTATGGTTCTACCTGTGGGAATCTGAGTAAGTGAACTGACGCCAAATAGGTGGTCTCCGGTCTGAAAATAGTGATCAGGTTCAACCTTAAATGTAATCTTCTTTTCTTCTGGGCAAGGGTCAATAAGTCTCTGCTAACTGCATAGCAAGAGTCCAGCATTCCCGAGCCCAAATCCCAATTTGAGAAAGCCAAGGGGGTTGGGGAAAACTTCTGGCTACTGATTCCTGAAAGGAACTTCCGGTGGAGAGAGAGCGCCCCGCTCTGGCCGGGGCAGAGAGGCCTGGAGCGGTCCACTTGGAAGTCAGAAGGAACCGGCTCTTCGTTCAGAGCAGTAACTCCCCGCTTCTCCACCCAGGTATGAAGAGGAGGTGGGCTTGCGGACCTGTGCTGAAAATGAGTTTGTGGCTCTGAAGAAGGTGAGTGGGGAGCGAGCGGCCCACGCAAACATCTCCTCCACACAAGCAAATGTTCTTGAGATGTCCCAGGGAACGTCAGGCCGCTCGACGGCATCTGAGACTCCCCCCCATTCAGAGAGTAGAATCCCTCAGGTCAAAGAGTCTCCCTTCAGAAGTTGGATCAGGCCAGTTATTTTGGAGAGCAGAAACCCCCCCAAAGAGGACCCTTTCAAGGTCTTGGATCATCCAGATTGCACCTTGCCTCCCAAAAAGCCTCTGACCCGAGGCTGGATTTAGGGCCAATTACCATATTCTAGTAGACAGAAGACCAATAACCACCACGCTCCATTTCCCCCTGTGAGTTTACCGCCCGCCCATCCTGAAAGCCCTGTGGGCACTGTCCGGCCCCTCCCATCCATCTCTGGACCGGCCAGTGAGGGAAGGGGAACCAAGCACAGGGATGATGCCTCCTTCTCTCCTTTGTGCAGGATGTGGACGCTGCTTTCCTGACTAAGTCTGACCTAGAGGTCAACGTGGATACTCTTGTGCAGGAAATTGAGTTCCTGAGAGCCCTGTACATGGAGGTGAGGACTCACACTCTTTAGGCTGTTCCTGGAGCCCAGTGCTTGGCTTGAACCTCAGAAAGGCTCAGTCTGGAATCGCACGTTTTCCAACGAACGGCATCGGCATCTTTTCTCCCACTCTGTGCCGATGTGCTCTCTCGATGGGTGTGATCGAGAGGGCACAGTGAGTAGACTTCTCGGTCCCGAATAAACTCCTCGGGTCTGTAGATCCAAATCTCTACTGGCCAATCCAAAGGCTGGGATCTGGGAGCCAAAGGTCCCATGTGCCAACTGCAAGTTCTGGGAAACCAATTTGCCAGGAGATCCAAGAAACAAAATGAGTCTGATGAGCCCAATGGCTTGATGCATTTTGCTATTGAGTGATCCGTCTGCTATGGATCCAGCCAGGGCTGAATTCCTAGTGCTGAGAGGAAAGGCTGGAGAAAAGAACCCCACCTTGTAAGCCAGTTCCCAGGCTTCTGGCCGCACGAAGGACTTGGGATATAGGAATTCCTAGACTAGAAAGCCCTATAATACCATCAGATCGCTACAATCGACGGCCAGCACAGTCGCTTTGTGAATAAGCTATAGATAAAAGTTCACGTCCCTGCATGGCTTCCTCTCCCCTCTACCCAGTTCCTGGGGCCCCATCCTCTCAATACTGGCCTAGGCAGTGTTGGGTGAGTGTTAGGTGGGGGTGATAAGGGATGCTTTCCAAATGTACCAGAAGCATCCAAAAGCCAAAGCGAAACGGCTCTCAGATGTTCCTTTGAACAGCCCTCTCTTTAGATCGTCTGCTGCCCTGCTCTCTTCCAAACCCTGGAGCAAGAGCCGGCTGCCGTGTGCTCTGCCTCTGACAGTTTGACAGCCTGGGCACCCCGAGACCCAGTCCAGGTCCCTGAACAGGGCTCTGAGCCTTTCTGTCCTCTGGCCCTCCCACACAGGAGATCCGGCTGCTGCAGTCCCGCATCTCAGAGACATCTGTCATCGTGAAGATGGACAACAGCAGGGACCTGGACCTCAACGGGATCATTGCTGACATCAAGGCCCAGTATGAGGAGATCGCCCAGCGCAGCCGGGCTGACGCTGAGGCCTGGTACCAGACCAAGGTGGGCAGGGAGGCTTGGGAAGGGCTGCAGGCTTGTACGCAACAGGGTGGGCACAGCGGAGTCCTGGGGTGCCTGGGTTCGTGACCTGACCTATGTACTCACGGTACACCGCCACCCCCAGTATGAAGAGATGCGGGTGACAGCTGGCCAGCACTGTGACAACCTGCGCAGCACACGGGATGAGATCAACGAGCTGACCCGGCTCATCCAGAAGCTGAAGACTGAGATTGAGCACGCCAAGGCTCAGGTGGGGAGAGGCCCTAGTGGGTAGGGGCAGGCCCTCCAGCGTTGGGGAGCCCCAGGTCTGATGCTGTAGAGGAGGCAACCAAGATCCAAAACCAGAGGGCCAGGGGGGGGGATTAGTCCCAGAAGACTTCCTAGAGGAGGAAACGTAGCAGGAAGGAGGAACCTGGTATATGAAAGGTGAGGCAGGAAAACCAGGTTCGCTGAAAGCTGCAGACGTCAGGACAGGCAACATTGGAGGGCTGGCAAACTGTGTGTCCCTTGATGACATCCAAACGGAGTCACCGATCTGTGGGAAGGTGCCCCCAAGAAGCTCCTTGCCCAACTGGGCACCAGCAGGGAGCAGGGATCCCACCGCCATACCAGTGATCCCCCTGGCTCCTGCCAAAGCTCACCTACAACCTGCTCCCCCCACCCCCTGCATGCCCCCACCCACCCATAGCGTGCCAAACTGGAAGGGGCCGTGGCCAAGGCCGAGCAGCAGGGTGAGACGGCCCTCAATGACGCTAAGTGCAAGCTGGCCGAGCTGGAGGCCGCCCTGCAGCAGGCCAAGCAGGACATGGCGCGGCAGCTGCGTGAGTACCAGGAGCTCATGAACGTCAAGCTGGGCCTGGACATCGAGATCGCCACCTACAGGCAGCTGCTGGAGGGCGAGGAGCACAGGCGAGTGTTCTCAGTGCAGCTGGAAAGCCTGGCCAAGGGAGTGGGCAGGGGGTGGAGGGAGCCAGGTGGAGAAGCGCTGAAAGGAGCAATCTTGAGAGGTGCTGATACTTTTCATGCAGCCCTCCGTCTGAGAAGGCCTTGGGGAAGGCTTACAAGAAGACTCTAGATCCGTGCCCCCACCCCCACCCCCACCCCCAATGCAGCAGAACCACAGGGTGTTTTGCTTGCTTGGTTAATTTGTTTAAAAGCACATTTCCTCAAATATTTTGATTCAGTAGTTTGGGGGCCAAATATTTTTCAAAGCCTGATGCACAGCCAGGGTGAGAGAGGCCTGTCCACTGGACCCCTCAGCCAGGAGAGTCTTTTGTACAGCAAGTAGGTTTGGGGGATCTGACTTGTCTCTTTCTCTCCCCAGGCTCTGTGAAGGTGTTGGAGCAGTGAACATATGTAAGAAACTTAAGTCTTTCCTCTGATCCCTTTCTCTCCAAATGACCTTTAAGCTCAGGCTCCCCATGGGGTCAGGGGCCTCCCCGGAGGACGGCAGAGCGGGACCTGAGTCAGGGGAAGAGGGACCATGGCCTGGGAGCGCATCCTTAGGCAAGGCCGGAGGTCTGCCAAGAGCCAGCCTTCCCCAGAGGGCAGCATTCGCAAAGGTCTGCAGGACTGTGGCCTTGTCCTTTGAGGGCCAAGGCAGGAATGAGAAGGCCAATGCCAGAGAACTCTCTAGCCACAAGGGCTCCTCAGTTTAGGTTCCACCTAAACCCAAACCAAACTCACTGCTACCACCTCCATCCCCACTCATAATGACCCCATGGGACGAGGCAGAACTGTTCCCGTGGGTCTCTGGTAACTTCTTATGGGAGTAGAGAGCCACAGCTTTCTCCTGGGGCTGCACTGGTAGTTTCAAACTGCTGGTGGTATAGCGGTTACAAATTGGGCCGTGGTCCACATGGTCAGCAGTTTGAAACCACCAGACTGGACTTTCTACCTCCATAAATGGTTACAGCCTAGGAAACCCATAGGGGTCGCTGTGAGTCAGCATTGACCTGGTAGCAGTGAGTGAGTGAGGCCTCTGGTGAACAGATAGCCCAATGTGTGACCACTACGCAGCCAGGGCTCCTAACTTGTTGGTTTGTTGTTTGTTTGTTTTGACTATATGAGTAGGCAATCAACTGTCAACATATAAATGAATACATGCACACATCTGAGCACTCCACAAAGTCTTCATTTCAATCTAAATGTTTGGACGTAGCGAAGTCAAAGCCATTGACCAAAAGGGAAAAGTGGGTATTGGCATTGTAGACAATAGGGGCCACTTCTATGCAGGCTACTTCTGGCCAGAATCCCAGGTTGCCTTTCCCAGACACCAGACCCCCACCTCCACTCCTAGGCCAGTTGCAGTCCCAGCCGCGTCCTGGGCAACACCCTGAGATGGGCAAGCTCTCTGATGGTTTCTTCCTCCCACAGCTGTGAGCAGCTCCCGGGGCGGCATGGTGTGTGGCACTGAGCCCCTTGTCTCCAGCTCCTGCTTCTCCCGCGGAGGGGTGACCTTCTCCAGTGGAAGCAGGGTCCTGACTTCAGGCAGTGCCTGCGGCTCAAGCTTGGGAGGTGCCCGGTTGGCCATGGCTGGAGGTGACCTGCTGGGCACGGGCACCCAGGTGGGCTCTGTGCTAGTGGGTGAGGCTTGTGCCCCCAGCATCCCCTGCCCCCTGCCCACTGAGGGGGGCTTCAGCAGCTGCAGCGGAGGCCGAAGAAGCCATGGCTCCAGCGTCCGCTTTGTCTCCACCACCACCTCCCGCCGGACCAAGTACTGAGAGCCGAACCCTACCCAGCTACTGCAGAGAAGAACCACTCACTGTCCCCTGCCCCTGACCCCCAAGGTGCATGGACTTGGGCTGCAGGGTCTCCAGCCACTCCTCCTTCCAGGAAGCTGCCAATCAGCCACCAGTAGATACTCCACCAGCAGCCCCTGACTCCCCATTCCCTTCCCTTGGTAATTCATCAGTCAACAGAACAATGTCCAGAGATGCAAACTTAGTAGACAGTAGAATTACAAAACCCAGTCTAAAGGAGAGAAAAGGAACAGTTCAAAGCCAAAAAGAATGTGTGTGGGCATCATTACCATCATCATCA